TGTAGTTAGTTTTTTAATGAGGAAGTGTGAGTCCCTCAACTTTGTTACTCTTTTTCAAGATTTTTTGACTCTTCTGCATGAATTTTAAGTCCAGCTTGTCAATTTCTGCAAAAAAGTCAGCTAGGATTTTGACAGGGATTGCATAGAATCTGTAGATCAATGTGCAGAATATTGACATGTTAGTACCTTACACATGGATTTCATCTTTTCATTTATTTAGGTTATCTTTAAATTTTTAAGCAATTTTTTGTAATTTTCAGTGTCAAGCCTTGAACTTTTGTTAAATTTATTTCTAAGTACAGTAAGTCCTCACTTAACATCGTCAATAGGTTCTTTGACACATTAAACAAAACAACATAAATGAAACCAATTTTGTCAGACATAGGCTAATTGAAACATAAATGAAACCAATTTTGTCAGACATAGGCTAATTGACATAAAGAAGAGTTAAGTTCCTATGGCACCTCCATCAACATTATAACAAAACTACATTGAACGAAACACTATCAAGGACCAGCTGTACTTTATTCTTTTTTATTCTATTATAAATGGAACTCTTTTCTTAATTTCTTTTGGATGGTTCATGGGTACTATACAGAAAACTGATTTCTATACATTGACCTTATATCCTATAACCTTGTTGAATTCATTTATTAGTCCTAATAAGTTTTTTGTGGATACCTTAGGATCTTCTACATATAAGATCATGTCATCTGCAAATAGAAATAGTTTTTCTTTTATTCCTTTCCAATCTAGATGACTTTATTTCTTTTTCTTGCCTAATTGTCCTGGCTAGAATCTCCAGTACAATGCTGAATAAAAGTGGCAAGAACAGACATCCTTGTCTTGTTGCTGATCTCAGGGGGAAAGCCTTCAGTCTATGTAACTATATCTGTGTTATAAATAATAATATATGTCAGAAAGACTTTACTATCTGTAGGGGGAAAAATATAAGTTAAATTATATTTGCCTTTCTCTTAACCATCACTAAAGACGACACTATAGAAACATTTCCAAATATAAAGTCCTTAAACAGCTCCTGGCACAGCACAAGCACTTAAAATATTTACCTGAGTTACTCCTAGTTTCTATACTTAACTACCTGGCAACTCCATTTCCATATTATCATTATCCCTTTCAGCTTCAATAACTACATTAATTCCAACCTATTCAATTATTTATATTAAAGCAGTAGTTTTCTAAATGTGGTAAGGGACCCTAAGGATTCCAGAGACCCTTTCAGGGGGGCTCATTAGATCAAAATCATACATGGCTAAAAGATCAAAGAGAAGTGCAAAACATACCAATGAATTTTAATGTAACATTGTAAGAAAAAGTATATAGATATGGTTTCAGATTCCACATTGCAACTAACCTTTAAGAAATTACCACTTGTTGACATGGAAGCATAGATGAGACTGATGAATGTCAGAGGGATGGAGGAGGGCGGGTGGGTGGAGGGGGAGAGAGTAACCAAAGAATTTATATGCATATATACACAGCCCAAGGACATGGACAATGGTGGGGAGAGGGCCTGGGGAGGGGGAAGGAACGGGGTGGAACAGGTCATTGGGGAGAAAAAGGGACATCTGTAATATTTTAAACAATAATAAAATTTTTAAAAAAGAAAAAAAAAAAGAAATTACCACTTGTTGAATTGTTCTGAATCAGAGAGTATCACAATTATCTGAAAAGGTTATTAAAGTACTCCTCTATAATTTAACTTATATTTTTCCCCCTACAGATAGTACAATAACTATCAATAGATATAGCCCATATAAATAAAAGCTATTTGGAGTCCAACATAATTTTTTTTTTTATTGATTGATTTTAAAGAAAGGAAGGGAAGGAGGGAAAGGGAGGGAGAGGGAGGGAGGGAAAGGGAGAGAAAGAGAAAGAAAGAAGCATCAATTTGATGTTCCACTTATATATTCATTGGTTGATTCTTGTATGTGCCCTGACAAGGGATCAAACCTACAACCTTGGTGGGCATATCAGGTCGACACTCTAACTGAGCTGCCAAGCCAAGGCATGGAGTCCTACATAATTTTTAAGAGTGCAAAGGGGTCCTGGCCAGTGCACTAAATGGTTAGAGCCTCAGCCCAAGGACCAAAAGGTCACAGGTTGGATTCCCGGTCAAAGGCACATACCTGGGTTGCAGATTCCATCCCCACACAGATGGGTGCGTGCAGGAATCAATGTCTCTCTCTCACATTGATGTTTTTGTCTCTCTCCCCTTCCCCTTCCCTCCCTTCCTAAAAATCAATGGAAAAAATATCCTTGGGTGAGTATTAACCAAAAAAAAAAAAAAAAAAAAAAAAAAGGANCTTCCTAAAAATCAATGGAAAAAATATCCTTGGGTGAGTATTAACCAAAAAAAAAAAAAAAAAGCAAGATATGGATACAACCAAAGTGTCCTGTGATAGAAGATTGGATGAAGATGCGGTACACGTACACAATGGAATACTACTCAGCCATAAGAAAGGATGAAATACCGCAATTTTCAACAACATGGATGGACCTTGAGAATATTACGCTAAGTGAAATAGTCAGAAAAAGCTAAGAACCGTATGATTTCACTCATATGTGGGATATAAAACTGAAACTTGTGGACGCAAACAGCAGTGTGGTGGTTGACAGAGGGAGGGAGTGGGGGGTAATGGGGGGGTCTTAATATATGGTGACGGGAGAAGATATGACTTTGGGTGCTGGGCACACAGTGCAATATACAGGTCTTGTAACACAGAAACCCACACCTGAAACCTGTATATTCATATTAACTATTGTCACCCCAATAAATTTAATTTTTTAAAAAAAAGAGTGCAAAGGGATCCTGACCAAAAAGTTTGAGAACCACTACATTAAAGTAATATTTAATACCCCATTTTTATTTATATCCTGAGTTAGCTGTGTGACTCACTTATGCAGCCATAAATATTTAAAGTAAGCTAAGGAAAATAAACAACATAAATTTTGCTTTTTTCAGATGTACTATAACCCAATTAAGAGTAAGATAAGGCTCCCTCAAAATAGAAAAGACAGGATGGTTGGATTAACAGAACGATGTATTTGCCACAAGTACCTACAGTAATATAATGTAGCTATAATACAGAACTTGCTGCAGAGCCAAAGAACTTCCACTGTGGCAAAAAAAAAAAAAAAAAGATGCACAGAAAGCAAGTCTGGGACATAGTCCTTAAGTGAATTATCTATAGTAACAATTTTACTGGAGTTGGTTTCTAACCATTTAAACTTCTGACCACCTTCAGTAGAGGTTATTTAAAGAACTCTGTGAAACATAAATCTGCCAATAAAAGTCATGAAAAAATATTTATTTAAAAATCCATTATTTTGAATTATGCAATGCTAGTCGCCTTTATTATTACAATAAATACAATACACTGTCTTGTAATAAATTACCAAGCTAAAAAAGGCCATCCAGCAAAGGGGTTAATGGCATTTATTTATTAGGGTCCTTTTTCAGTTCTTCTGGAAACATAATTTATCTGTTTAAATGCCTAGCACAAAATCTTGTATGGGGCTGGTGTTAAAAAATTACTGTTCACTACAGAATTAAAATGCTGATCAAAGAGGAATGAGAGCATATTTTCCTCAGCCAGGAATGATTAAAGTGGGCAGAAGCTCATACGCCAGGGCAAGTTTTCTTCTAAAAAGGGTACTTCCAAAGTCACACATCTGACCTAATGGGTATATAGAGTACCGCACTCTGTCTAAAAGGAGGAAGTGTCTGTGTTAGTTTTCTTATTTCCTCACATGCCGTAAGGCCTGAATTTGCAGTTTCCAAAGTAAGCCTTTTTAAGCACTTTTCATCCTATTCTCATAGCTAATTCCCATGGTGAGAATTTTCAAGTTTCTCAAATTAAAAAAAAGTTCCATTGGTGTTGGGGCTCTGTGTAAAACAGAAACTAAGGACCAAATCAGAAGAAGGGGTGAATAAAGCAAAATTCACTGTAACCAGAATGTTTTCAACTGACCAGTGTTTCAAAAAATTAATGTTTAGGTGGGAAAAACAAAACCCACATTCTACTGTTCCACTAAGTAGCATTCTTTTATTGGTTTCTACAAAAGCCAGTTACTTAATGAAATACGATTTGATAACAATATTTAAATACTGTGTGCTGCAATTACTTCCTGCTGAAAATATCCCATTTCAGCTAAGTGCCACAGAAAACAAGTTCTTCTCAAATCTCAAAGATTTAACTCCTTCTTCCTACCCCGCTGCGCCTCCCCTCGCTCCCGGAAAATACCATAGGTGCTAGGTTTTCAGAACTCCACCTTTAGAGGCGGTAGTGGGGGTGGGGTGGCAAGGAGGTTGGTAGTCCGGGATGGGAGAGCTCTCTAATTTTTGGACTTGCTATCCCATTCTGCCCTAGTAATACAAACCCCCGTTTGTCAAATCATTTTATGAATAATGATAAAAATCAAGAACCCAATTCCTTCCTGTTCGGATCTATCTAGATAAATTTCATTACAGCTCTCATTGCACCTATATTCACTCCAGGGGAGCTCTATGTGTGCCCAGACCCTCAAATCCAGCCCGAATTACTCTATGACCTTGGACCTGGGCCACCGCTCCCCTCCCTTCCAGGCTAAAGACAGTGAAACCAAGATCCCCACGTCCCGCCCCGCAGACTGCAAAGGCCTCACGGTTCAGGCTGGGTCAGCGGGTGGCGGCGGGGGCAGGGCAGGCAGCCGGAGAAACCGCAGCTCCGTGCTGGTTCAGGGGAAACGCCGCTAAGGAAAGCCGCCGGGGGCGGGAACGAGGCCCGGGGGCTACCTGCGAGTCAACGCCGACGCCGCCCCCGTAGTCGCAATGGCTGCACGCCACCTCGGGGCTCCGGAGCCCTAGCGGCCGCGTGGGGAGCCCCAGACCGTCCGGGTTCTCGGTCACGGCCCCTTATTACCCCTGACCGCCAAGCAGCAGCAGCAGCAGGTGATGCGGCGACTGGGCAGCCGAGGCGCGCAGGTTGTTTGCTTACCTCAGGCGACGGCGCGTCGGAGCCGCCCACTGCCTCTCAGGGGCTCCAGGAGCCGGGACGAGCGGAGTAGGAAGAGGTGTGCGAGGCAACGGGACACAAGGGTGGGACAGGAAGGGGGAGAGCCGTCCGGCTCTGGAGGGCGGCTGGCAAAAGGGAAATGAGGACGCAGGCGGCGCGACAGCAGGCGGCAGGGACGGTCGGGACGCTCGTGTACCTTCCTCACTCCTGGCCGAGGGTCCTACGCGAGCCGGCAGACCGCCTCACATCCGGGTATCAGGAGACACTCTGCTGCTTCTGCCGCGACCGCCGCCTCCTCCGCGGCGCAGAAACGCCAAACTTCCGGCGACGACGGCGACGCCTCGCCCGTCAGATGGGAGTTACCTGCGACTGTCTTGGGCGCGCTTGCGCATCGCTCCTCCTCAGCCCGAACGGGCTCGGCTGACGTGCCCTGAAGACGAAGATGGCCGCCACGCTCGTTGCGTGTCACGCAGTTTTTCTCCCCGGCCAGACGGCGGGGCGTCGGGGAAAGGCGAGCCAGCGTCCACCCTGGGCGCAGGCGCGGTGGGAGGCCTCGCGTGCGCGCACCGCGGGTGGGCGCCTCCCGGGGAAGCAGCTGCTCCCCCTGGCGGTGGCCGCTTGCCCTACTCGGGGTCGCCTTTTGGAATAAAGCCACCCATGCCCCCAGCGGCGGTGGTTTGTGTTGGAAATACGTCGCCGCAGTTTCCTACGACGGTTGCAGGTAGTTCTCTGCGACTAATTCAAAAGGCTTTAATCTTCTAAATGGGCCAATGTAAAGAAAAGGGGAGATAATTGACCCTTCGCGCTCCTTTCCCTACGTTGCACCCCAGCGCCTCCAAAAAATGCCAGGCTTCGCCTTCTCCTTGCACACTTTTCTCCTTGTGGAGAGCACAAGAATCCCCAAGACATTGTAGAATATTCCAGTAGGTTTAGTCGTGGCGGGTGTTCAAACAAAGCTTTGGCTCTTCCAAGCCTCTAAAGATAGAATCAAGGTTCTATCACTATGATTCGTGGTTCCCACGCTGCTTTTGAACACTCTTTTCTATGCTACCTTTTCCTTATTTGCAGAACTGTGAGGATGGATAAATCGGTAATCTTGCCTTTAAGAATCTGAAGAAAAGGTCCTAGGTGAGTTCTCTCCTTCCTGCCCTCCTTCGACACATTTGGGTTGAAACCCAGTACAACCCAAATGTGTTGTAGGTTTGTCAAGCCTGATGTTTTCTGACAACACTTCTTCCACAAAACTTTATCCAGCTGCTTGTCAGTTTAGTCTGGCGAGAGTCTATGGTTTAAAAACAAAAACAAAAATTAGTTTGATGGGTGAAGCCATTGTCCACATCACCATACATTGTGTTACCTGGACGAAAAGGGGGCCTGTGCTAAACCTGACAAGCTTAGGGAATGCCTGCATGGTTGCCTTGCAAACTCAGACACCTAAAGTAACCCCGAAGGATAGTCTGAGATTAAAACTTTTTTAACTAAAAGCAGTCTATGGTGAGTAGCCACATCCTAAGGCAGTAATTTTCCCTAACAAAGGTTAATTTTCACCATAACGAAGCCTGTCTGTTTGTCTTTTTGCATCTGTGATAACATACCCGATTAACATGCCTTTGCAAAAACAAAGTAATTTCCCTCCTCCCTTTCCCCCCCCCCACCATTCAAAGCATAGGAGACCACAAATACCCCTCATTGTTATCATGTTAATTGTTGGTTGTTAACTATCCTACACCCACCTAAGAAGTTTGTGTCTATAGCATTTTACCTTTTCATCCAATCCCGGAGATTTCCCCGCTTTGCTTTCTCCTGCTTCCCTAATCTATCACTAATGGATTTCATGTAACCCACTTTTGTCTCTTTTGATTGTAAAGTATAAAACAAGGTGCAAAACTGCCATTCTCTGGAGCATTATCTCAATCCGTAGAGATTCTGCTTCTTGGTATGTGTTGACAGGATGGCTCAAATAAACTCACAAAAAATTCTTCACGGGTTTGAATGTTTCCTACGTTAACATGTGAAAGTATAAAACAGTTTGCTTTTACAATAGGGTATTATAAAGTTCAAAGTTGCAAAGATACTAGTTCTTAATTGTTCCTACCACAGAAAATAATTGTGTGGCATGATAGATGTGCTGGTTACCGTGGTAATCATATTGCATTATATAAATATATCAAATCAACATGTTATATACCTTAAAATTACACATTTTAAATGTCAATTACATCTCAATAAAAATGCATTTAAAAAAATATTTTGCTTTTGCCTGGGTGGAATGGCTCAGTTCGTTGAGCATCATCCTGTACACATAAAGGTTGCTGGCTTGATTCCTAGTCAGGGCACATGCCTGGGTTGTCGTTCAGTCCCAGTTGGGGCACATATAGAAGGCAGCCAATCGATGCGTGTGTGTGTGTGTGTGTGTGTGTGTGTGTGTGTGTGTCTGTCTCTCTGTCCCCCTCCCCCTTCCTCTCTGTAAGCATGTCCTCAAGTGAGGATTTTAAAAAAATTTAAATATTTCACTTTTATGCAAAAAAGTAACTTTCTCAAGTATTATTCTTTATCATTTTAAAATATTTTCTTTCTAATCCTCACCTGAGGAAATGTTTTCCATTGCTTTTTCAGAGAGAGTGGAAGAGAGAAAAAGAGAGAAACATCGATGTTGGAAAGATACATTGATTGGTTGCCTCCCACATGTGTCTGCAACCAAGATACGTGACCCTTGGCTGGAATCAAACTTGAGACCCTTAATTTGTGGGCCAATGCTCTAAACACTGAGGCCAAACTGGCTAGGGCTTAAAAGATATTTTTCACTTCAGATTCATTAATGCCAAAGGTCTCAATTTGTAGTTTGATTAAATCTTAATTATTCTGTAGTATTGTGTTTGACAAAATTTGTTTTGTCTTCCATCAATGGTTTTCTTTTAGAACTGTCTGTCTATGAACTTTAGAATTTGGTTCATTTGATTTGTCTACTAAAAATTAATCATGATCAACTGAAAAATTATTTTGCTTGACTGAGCCTTCAAAAATTAGATAAGCTCACAGTAAACTGACCCTGAAACCTGATAATGAATGCGTCTGGGCTGCCTGTCACTACTTGACCCAATTAAGCAGAAGCTGGGTTGAATCCTACATGAGCATTTATTCCAGTGATGCCAGCAGCATGGGAGAGCAGCAGGATCCATCCATCCACATAAAATCTGCTCCACTGCCCCCCATAAGCCAGCTGCTTATATTGGGTAGAAGGACAAAGGTTACGTAGGAAAGTAGGAATTACAGGCATGGGGAAGTAGGCAAGGTATAATGCTAACAGGCTACAGGCAGTACTGGCTGGGAGTCAAAAAAGGGTGGGTGCCTCTGGGACTCCATTATTTTGGGAACAAGGTTGTTAATCTTTCTGTGGTGATAGGCAATTCTTGGAAAAGGAGAATGGACCGCATTCCAAAGTTATCTGCCATGTTCCAGGGAGTACAACTCTCAGCCAGGTTAGAATGTGCTTTCTCCAATCACAACAGAACAATCACAGTTAACAGAGCATGATTAATATTTCTTATAACTACAACTAGTCTCAACAATTCTATTTCTGCCCCTAACAAGCCCAGTAAAAAGAGAAGCCTCAATTCCCAAGAGTTCCTGAGAAAGTCCTTGAGGAGAGCTCTGATTAGTTCATTTGCCATGTGCAAATGGTAAAAACAAATGCTGTGGCCTAGGTCTTGCATCTTGGTGCTTAATGTTATGGTTTTGTAAACTGTAATTGTCTTTTTCACAGTCCCTGCACAAAGAACTGAAAGTCCCTACTTGTAAGTTCTCTTGCTAAACTCAAAATTGAAAATGTCATCTCCTAGATTTAAATTGTTTGTTTTCCTTCCTGACTTCAAACTGCCGAATGTACTTTTCTACTCTTGCTTATCATTAGAACATCTACTTCTAAAAACTAATAATGGAATAGTTACATTCCCCCACACGTAACATTCTCATTTCCTTGTTTCTTTTCTTTTTTATGACCAATCTAAATCCCTGTAACATGTAACCTCTGCTAACTCTCAGAAGGCAGGGTAGTCTACTTTCAGACCGACTCTCCTGCTAGAGGCAAATAAAGACTGTTTTTGTTGTTGCTTCACTCTTGTTGACTTTATTTCAGGACTCTTGACAGCTTTATAAGATGAAAGTAAAAATTCTATTAAAAAGTTGAAGGTAGAAAATAAAAACAGGAAACATATAACAATTTGGTATAAATCAACTGACAGTGACATTTTACTTTGCTATCTTCTGGGACACCCACCACTAACACATACAAGTAAAAATGTTGGCCTTGCATACTTGAGAAGGGATAAGTAGGTGTTAGCCAGATTAAAGAATTGAATGTACAAAAGTTTGGAGAGGAGAGTGAGTTTGATGAGTTCCTGGAACTTAAATACTACAATTCTATTGAGGGGAAAAGGGATTAAGAGGTAGACAGAGCTCAAAGTAGGAAGAGCCTTGAGGATAATAGAGAGGAGTACCCTGTGCTGAGGACTAGGGATACTGCAATGAATAATACACGCAAGGTCTTCCTCATGCAGCGTGCTTTCTAATGGAGACATTCAGATATTTCACAAATATTTTAGGGCACATTGTGTGCAAGGCACTGTTCTAAATGATGGGAATGCAGAAGTGAACAGAACAGATAAAAATCCTTGCCTTTAGGTAGTTTACATTCTTGCATCAGACAATGAGTAAAATAATTAAATGCAAACAAGGAAATAAATAGGGTGATTAACAGAGCAGCACTGTCTAATCAAACTTTCTTTGAGGATGGAAATATTCTTTATCTGCACTGTCCAAAAGGATAACCATAACCACATATGGCTGTTGAGCACTTGATGTGACTTGTAAATGAGGAACTGAATTTTTAATTTTACTTAATTTAAATAGCCACAATTAGGCACTACTTTTAATCCAGGGGCTCATTAATATCCTGGGTTTTGTTTTCTTAAAACTCTTTCTTAAGACTGGTTCTTCTCTGGGGTTTCCAGTAACTACCTCTCCATTCACATCCAGAAGGAAAGATTATTCCTTGCGGAAGTCTGATTGATCAGTTTACATTCCAAATTCACTGTGAACAAGTAATAGAATGTGATTACTGACATAAGGGTAGAGTCAGCTTCCTTAGGATCACATGAACCACCAGGAGATTGCTGGTAACTGTTGGGAAGAGAAGGGGATAGGTTTTGAGAAGGCAACACACAAATGTTCATTACAGTCTTCCTAATCAATTGTGGGCAATGGACTGGGGCATCTTCATCAGCTGAAGGCATGTTAGTGTTTAAAAACCAAAATTCAACCAAGTAAATTTGAAGATCTAATTGGCTTTGTTAAGCAATTCATGAATCATGCAGCATCCCATTTAGCAACTAGAAGGGCACTGTACAAAGTGGAAGCAGGTTGGGGCAAGGGAGCTATTAGTTAAAGAAAAGAAGTTGGGGCATCATTGGGGGAAGAGAAGTGGAAAGGTTGTTAACATGTAGATTGCTTTTTTTTTTCCAGGGAGAATGGAGAGAGCCTAAGTGACAGACTGCTAGTGCTTGACCAGAAATCCCAGACTGATTATTAAGATTATGTTTCTGGGAGAGGCTGAAACTGCAATTATATCAGGTATTAAATCTAGGTTTTGTGTTATAGGCTATTAACACAAGTGACTCCATTGGTGCCTACATTTTTTTGTTTTTTTAAAAAATATATCTATTGATTTCAGAGAGGGGAAGGGAGAGGGAGAGAGAGAGATAGAAACATCAATGTTGAGAGCATCATCATTGATCAGCCGCCTCCTGCACTCCCTGACTGGGGATTGTACTACGATCTCCTGGATCCTAGGTCGATGCTCAACTGCCAAGCCATGCCCCACCAGGCAGGGGCCTATGTTTTGGTTTTTGGGTTTTTTTGCTTTATAATATGTTTTTATTGATTTCAGAGAGAGGAAGGAAGAGGGAGAGAGAGATAGAAACATCAATGAGTCACTGATTGGCTGCCTTCTGCACTCCCCCAACGTGGGTGTGTGCCCTGACCAGGAATCGAACCATGACCTACTGGTTCAAAGGTCAACACTTAACCACTGAGCCATGTCGGTGGGCTGCTTTTGGTTGTTTTGTTTTGTTTTTTTAATCATCACCCAAGGATATTTTTTCCATTACTTTTCAGAGACAGTAGAAGGGGACAGAGAGAGAGAAACATCAAAGTGAGAGAAACACATGGACTGGTTGCCTCTGCACATGCCCTGACTGGGGCCAGGGATTGCGCCTACAACCCAGGAATGTGCCCTTGGCCGGAATCAAACCCAGGACCCTTCAGTCCCCAGGCTGCACTCTAATCACTGAGCCAAGATGACTAGGACTGGGCCTGTGTTTTTTTCTTTAACATTAGAAATGCAGATTTGAGACCCGACACCAACTGAATCAGAATTTTCATTCTAAAGTTTCATACAGATGGGTCTTACGCACATTACATTTTTTTTGTTTTATTGTTTTTAATCCTCACCCAAGGATATGTTTTTATTGATTTTAAGAGAGAGAGAGGATGAGACAGAGAGGGAGGGAGGGGGAGAGAGAGAGAAACATCAATGTGAGAGAAACATCAGTGAGTTGCCCCCTGTATGCGCCCCAACTGGGGTTGAACCTGAAACCTAGGTATGCGCCCTGACCGGGGAATCAAACCCACCACTTTTTGGTGTACGGGATGATGTTCCAACCACTGAGCGACCCGGGCGGGGTTGCACATGAAAATTTGATGAGCATTACTTTACAACACCCATGAGTTTTGCTAAAGGACGAAGTCCAGGCTTGAAGATACAAATTAAAGCTGTGGTTTTGGAGGAGGTTGCCTAGGCTAAAGGAGAAAGTACCCATAAGGAGACTACCCCTAGGGTAAGCCCTGAAGCACACCAACATGTGATGGCTCAGTAGATGAGGCAGCTGCAACCAAAAAAGATCAGCTAGTGGGACAGGAATAAAACCAGGTGTGCATGGCATCCTGGAAGCCCAACAAGGAAGGTGTTTCAAAAGGGGACTGTCTGTGTTGAACGCTTCTGAGATGCTGAGTAAGATGAGGACAAACGTTGTCTTGGAGGTTTTCTAGAACCTTTAGAAAAGCAACTTCGGTGTAGTTTAAAGTGAATTAGAGGTGACAAAAACAAGCATAGACAGCTCATTCAAGAAGTTTTTCTGTGAAAGAAATCCGCAGTAGCTGGAGCTGCATCAGAGGAGAACTTCGTATGATGGAAAAAATCCAATGAAGAGGGAGAAATTGATGATTCAAATTAGAAGGGAATAACTGAAGGAGGGAAATTTTTAGGAAAACGAGAGATGGGATCAATACAAGAGGAATGTGCCTTTGAAAGGAGCAATAATACTTCCGTTGAAAGCAGAAGGATGGATTCTGTTTTCCCAAAGACGTAGGAAACAGGGATTTGGGAGAGAGACTTGGACTGTAAAAGGCTGGAGAGGAAGAGAAGAAAGAAGGTATTAAATAGTTTTTGAGCTCATTAGAGAAGCATAACACGATCTCTGAGCAGTGTAAGGTACCCTTTAGAAGCCTGTAGGCAGAATTTAAAGTGAAAATAACTAGCTAAATTGTGTGATTTTCTTCAGGTACATTAAGTAAATGCTGAATTTCTTGGCTCTATAGCAAAATTAGCGCAATCCCTTGGACTTCTCTCAGAACTTCCCTTCGCTCGTGGGTATATTTGGTGCTGCAGAATACAAGGTCGACTGCTGTGCCGGAGTGCCCACGAATTGAATTTAATCTCCTCAAATCTACCTCTAACGGGAAACGTCCTCCTAGAACATCCCTAAAAGCCCTCAGCAGTCGCAAGGCACACCCCCAGCCGCCAGGGGCCGCAGCGGCGCTCCTCGCGGCCGGAAGGGGGTGCGACGCAGCGTGGCCTCGGCGTTTCCGCCGTGCGTCTGCCGCGCTCCGCGCGCTCTTTACGTCGGAGGCCTGGGTGTAGGCGTTTCCGGCCATTCATACTGCGGTCCGGTGGCCCTCCGTTGTCGGTTTTTGTGCACTCTCGGACTGAAATCTCCGTTAGGATGAAGCTCGTGAGGTGAGGAGGTTACCAAACAGGGTGGGGACCGTGAAGGGACGTTTTGGGCCAGAAATGGGAAGCTGGGCTGCCCCACTTCCAGGAGGCGCGAAAGCCGCGTGCGCGGCCTGCTAACGGCCTCCGGCGCCCGCCGCTCCCGCCCTATCTTGGCCGCGCAGCCCCAGGCGCTGAGGCCTGGTATTTTAGACTGGGTCGCGCGGGGATTTCTCGTGTTTTCCAAGAGGTGGATGTAAAGGCCGAGCCCTTTCTTCTCACCCAATGTCTTAGGCCTTCCTTAAAGGTGCAGCTTCAGGCTTACAAGGCCTTGCTTTCGGTTATTTACCGACTTTCTAGTCTAGGTTACTTCTTCGGCGCACCTCGACCCTCATGAACCCGCAGGTCCGTGAGACGTGAAAGTTGCATGCCCTGTATAAGTAGTTTAAATTAATGTGCTTTAAAAAGAGCACTTAAAAGCTGCAGCGGGTTATCTAGGAAATAAGCCAGTTTCCAAAATGTTTTAAATCGGGTGGACTTCTGACTTCATAAGTTCCTTTTTTTTAAGTTTATTTTTTATACTCTCTAGACTTAATATAACTCAACCTACATTCCCCTTTAAAGTAGGACTTTAAGCCCTGGCTGGTGAGGCTCAGTTTGTTGGAGCGTTGTCTTTTACACCAAAAGGTGGCGGCGGCAGGTTCGAACCCGGTCGGAAGGCAACGGATGGAAGTTTCTCTCTAAAATCAATAAAAATAAAATAGGCCTTTGATTTGGGGTAAATCTCCCAACTTGGGGCAGAATCAGTTTCCATATTTGTGACTTACTACACGGATAATGGTATTTCTTACATTTTATTTCTTAATGGTTGGTTAAACTTACTGAAGACTTACTCGAGTAACTCATTTTACACTGTCTGCGAATAGGCTTGGTATTGGTGTTTTTCCTTGAGGCTGAGAACCTCAAGGTTTCTAATAACCAAGCCAGCAGTTGTAAATATTTAGCTAATTTATTGCCTATTGAGTCAAGGGTTGTTGATGTCGACCAGTTTTTGGGCACATGGTAATGGATTTTTTTTTAAGGTAGAATCCCTGCCTTGTTAGAGCTTTCTGTTTTGTGGGGAAGACAGACAAGTAGATAATCTTCTAGTGTCTTTGAAATAACATATCAAACCCTTCAGGATGGAGTTTGTAGAGAAGGCATTTAAGGTTAACTTTTAGTCCATTTTTATTTGAATTATAGCTTTGGATAAAAAGGTCTCAGATTTTTAAGTATAATTTTGCATTTTCTCAATTCCTAGCAGCCTAAATCTACTTAGTTAAGTTTTATGTGATACTTTTTTGTTGTTTTTATTGACTTCAGAGACAAAGAGGGAGGGGGAGAGAGATAGAAACATCAATGATGAGAGTCACTGATCCACTGTCTCCTGTAGTCGCCCCGCTGGGGTTCGAGCCCACAACCTGGGCATGTGCCCCTGATCTCCTGGATCATAGGTTCAGTGCTCAGCTGCTGAGCCACACCTGCCAGGCAATACTTTTTGAAATTAGTTTGTCTCATTTAAAGATGTCCATGTTGTGACATTTTTCTTGTAAATTTTAATGACTGTTTTGAATCCTATCCTATGTCTTAGAATATAGAAACAAAATTTCTTCTTACTGGAGAATGTATTTTTCACCAAGAAAATAGGTGTTTGTCTAACTGGTTTGCATTTTTGGCACTATCTTCCTTATCTTACTGTTACCCTAGCCAAAAACCTGGGAGTCTTGACTTCTTCCTCTCTTGATAGTCCTGATATCTGATAAACTGGGCATTTTTATCTACCCGATAGAAGTATCTCTCACTATTGATTTTTCTTTGGTGTTTGAACTCAGTGTGGGTTTGAATACTGAAAGACACCATGTTATCTGAATATTTGAAGTTTCAGTAGGTAGAAAAGAATTTAGATAGTAAAAGATTCATCAGAAAATAATTCCAACCTATTTGGTTTCTAGGCTCTGATTATTCTGTTTGTTTCTCATGCCCATAATACCCTCCCTTCTCCCATTCCAGTTGCCACCACTGTTCACCCCATTTTTTTTCTCTTGAGGTAAATATCTCACAATGAAATTTAGTGTGCATTTCCCGATTTTCAAAAATGTATGCACCTGTGTAACACAAACCCCTTTTAAGATATGGAACATTACCAAAGCCTTAGTTCCCATAAACCCTTCCTGGTCAGTTTCTGGTAACCTATATACACTACTCTAGCCACCTGATCAGGACACTCCACTTCATTGATGAAAACACTTCAGTAGCTCTCATTAGGGAATTCTTTGACAGAGCTTGGAGACTCTGTGAAAGTTCCTCCCTAACTCTTCCCTACTCATTTTCTTGGACTTAATATTTCATTGGTAGTACCTATAATTTCTCAACTTTGTACTCTTTCTTACCACCATATTTTTGCTCTTATTTCTTTTTGCTGCATATTTCCAACTTTTCAGATGCCTTACCACAAGTCTTCTAAGATCTCATTCCTTCCTACCCATTGTTATTTGCCTCCACATAAAAACCTATGTATGCCTCCACTGGGTTTTCTAATTTAGTTACTTTAAAAAAAATCTTTTGTGTTCTTCCTACTAGAGTTTGAGCTTGTTGGAGCCTAGTCTTAACTTCCAAAAATGATTTGACAGAATTTATATAAAAGTAAAAATTATTGAGTGGTTTGGTCAAAGTAAAAGATGTTTTTTAAACCCCATAACTTTATAATGGAAGTAAACTATTAGGTGAGAATTCTAGGCTAATATATTATACGTGATTATTAAATTTAGAGCTTGGCTAAAGAATGCTTGTTTCATGAAATAAAGCATTATCAATGGAGAGACTTTCATTTTTTTCATTTATTTTTGTTAATCTTCACCCAAGGATATTTTTTCCATTTATTTTTTTTAGAATGGAAGGGGGTGGGGAGAGAGGTATCCATTGGCTACCTCCTGTACCCACCCAATGACTGGCACGGGGAAATCAAACCCATGACCCTTTGGTTCTAGGGCCGATGCTCTAACCACTGTGACGGTGGCATGGCCAAGAGACTTCTTGACAGCAAACAGGAAAAGGGATTCAACACATCAGTCTTTATACGAGAACAGACCAAGTAATTTCCCCTTTTTTGATGGCTGTCTGTACCACTAAAAAAATGGTAGTTTAAGGCCGGCTTCTCTTTAATCATTGAAACATTCAGCCAACTGTTATTCAGTGCCTGTTACATCCAGGATTAGATTAAAGATCATAAACCTTACCCTCAACAGCAGTCTAGTAGGGGAGAGAGTTAATCCTACATGTATAAGAAATTGTGAATGTGAACTTCATATTAGATCTTATTGTGGGATTATTGTTTATTTTTCTAGGTGTGATTGTGGTATTATGGTTATGTGGGAAAATGTCCTCATTAAAGAATGCATGCTGAAGTGCCTGCAATTTATTTTCAGATGATTTGGTGAAAGTGTAAGTTGTGTGTGTAGGAGGGACACACAAATGGCAATATTTCAATAATTTGTCGGCCCTTCAGCATTTCTTTTTCTGCAGTATTTCATAACAAAAGTTGGGGGGAGAACGAAAGACTAGATGAAGTGTACTAAATAGAAAATTAGATGAAAATAAGAGACAATCTTGGGATGGAAAACATCTTCCTAAACAAATTACATACCTAAGAAGGATTCACAAATTTAGCAATATAAAATGAAAAAAAAAAATTATGTGACTAAAGGAAACCACAAACAAATTTGAATGACTGTGGTAAACTGGTAGAAAATAAAAGAAAAATTATACCTAATTGGAAATGTGTGAATAAGTAATTCACAAAAGAAATTAAAATTTCCCATATTTATGGAAAGATATTCAACCTCACAACTAATAGAAAAGAGCAGATTGCCTTTTTTCCCTATCAAATTGACCAAAAAAAAAATTTAGAACAGTGGTAACAATCGGTGTTGGTGAGGATTAGCATAAATGGATTTGTGATAGATAGCTATCTATATGTGTATATATACATACAAACACAGTATATGGAAATGTCTCTAATATAAACTGCTAAATGAGAACTACAAGTTAGAGAAGTATAGCCCAGTTATGTAAAAAACAAATTTTATGTATATGCTTTGAGTTCATATAAAATGGTCTTGAAGAATATACTCACAAACATGAAGGGAGGTTAGAAAGGACTTTTACTTTATTATGTATATAAAATAACCGTGTAATCTTTTCCTACCAATTATAACTTATTATTTTTCTTTCATTATTGAGATAGAATTGACATAAGTACGGTGTAAGTTTAAGGTGTACAGCATAATGACTTGATTTAAATATATTTCAAAATGATTACCACAGTAAGTTTAGTAACATCCATCATCTTGTATAGATACCAAAAAAAAGTTTTTTCCTTGTGATGAGAACTTTTAAGATCTGCTTTCTAAGCAATTTTTTTTTTTTTTTTTTTTAATTTTGTGAGTTTATTTGAGCCAAACTGTCGACAATTGCCAGGAAGTAAAATCTCAATGCAATGAGATAATGCTCCAGAGAATGGCAGTTTTGCACCTTATTTTATACATTATAATCAAAAGAAAAGATGCAAGTGGATTACATGAAATTCATTGCTGATGGATTAGAGAAGTGAGAAAAGACAAAGGGGAAACCTCTGGGATTAGATAAAAAATAAAATGATATATCTTTTACGTAGATGGGTACAGGATAGTTAATAATAAACAATTAACACGATAAATAACAATAGTCTCTGCTCTGGTGCCTTGGTTGTTCCCTAAGGGGTCTGGAAAAAGGGAAGTTACCCTGACCTTCCAAAGGTATGTTATCATGGATGCAAAAGTCTAAGCAACTTTAAATATACCACATATCAGCGTTAACTATAGTGCATGTTGTACATTACATCCCCAATGTTTGTTTATATTATAACTAGAAGTTTGTACCTTTTGACCACCCTCATATAATTTCTTGATTTCAATTTTGTGGCTTATGACTTCGGGATCTGTATGCATGGATGCTGTACAGTGGTTTAGAGAATCAGAAATGTCCAAATGACCATGTCAGTTATTATGCTCCTTCATAAATGTTATGGTTTTAATTCAGGGAAAGCTGAAATTGTTATGCAGATTATTAATAGGAATTGATGTGGATAGCATCTAAGCAGATTTTCAACAATTAGAAATTTCATCCTTTGACTTAATAAACACTTAAAAATTTTAAAGGTGAAAATTTTCATTTTATTCCTATTTTCTTTATAGATTTTTGATGAAATTGAGTCACGAAACTGTAACCATCGAATTAAAGAATGGAACACAGGTTCATGGAACAATCACAGGTATGGAGGTTGGACTGCTTTATAACACTTTCCCCCCATCTCTTCTACCTACAGGCCAGAATTATTTTTTGGTTCCTTAATGAACATTTCTTGTAGTAGGGATCTCACTCTTTATGTCTGAATTATTTCATTGATCTTAGATCAGCCTCACCTTAAGTACTTAAGCTAACACCAAACTGGGTTCCCCAGGTTTTCCTATGCGTGACGCCTGTTTTTCTACTTTTATGCCTTTCATGCTTTTGTCTGTGTGTGTCCTTTTGCCTGGAATGTTGAATCTTCCAAGATACATTTTGTTGCTTTTATTAGAATTTTGTGTCCCCTGTTAGGTTGTAAAGACGTTAAAGATAGAGGATGGGTTCCCATATCTGATTATCTTGGTAAAAATTTATGTGGGAGATGGAAAGGGCGCAGTAAGGAACTATAATTTTACATTACTTTTTTGTTATGTGTTTAACTCTTTGCTATAATGATAGTGTGTGTGTAGTTTTATATTGAAGGCCACTGATTTTTCACTCATAGTAGGAGTGCTGCTACTCCCCCCCGTTGCAAAATTTCAAAAGAACTGATAAGCCAATGGAAGAAAATACTATCTTGGAATGTGGTCCCACTCTCTTAAATATTTAAATAGTAAATTTATAAATAATATTTTAACGCATAGATCAAGAATCTGAGTAAATCGAAAGAAATATACAGTATTAAACTGATATTATTTGTGAGTGTACTAGAACTTTGCAACACCAGTTGCTATGAAAGGAAATCAATACAGTGTAAGGTTTTGATACAATCTGTGACCATATCTGAGGAAGTGTAATTGCCATTATGTTAAAATCCTATAAACTGATTAGTCTGCTTTCCCCTGAGATCTGTTCGTTTTAGGAACTCAAAATCTAGTGATGGAAGATGCGCGCGCGCACACACACACAAAAATAATGTAATGCAAGGTTTGCCTAACATATAGTAGGTACTTAATAAATGATGTGGGGAGGGGGGTAGTTCAAGTAAGTTGGGAGAGCAAAATCTAGTAAAAAAATCTAATTCCCTCCTCCACTGACAACCACCATTACAAGCTTCTTAAATCCTTTATGAATATATCTTTTAGTCCTCATAGTAGGGATGATCATACTATTTACCCATAGGGATTTTGAGGATTTATTAAAATGTCTTTGAATTCAGTTCCTGGAACATAGAGCTTATAGTATAAATATTACTTTTTTTCCCTTCCGTTAAAGGATCAAGGTTCCCAAGGAGATGGAAAGTCTCAAAAGTATGTTAATTTTAGGAAGGGAGAAGACCTCTTCTCTGACTGGAAGGAGGGAGGAAAATATTAGTAATAAGATTAGTAAATTTGAGGTGGATACTGGGAAAGTTGAGAGAATTCATGTTTTTTGGCTTTAACTTTCTAAGGTTAGACATTACCTAGATCTTTAGTTATCCTGTTTGTTCAGATGTATTGGCAAGGGCTTCAAGAATTGGGTATTTCTGCTGTCATTTCGTATAGTTGTCCTAGAAAACCTTGCTTTTATTTTGTAAAATCTCATACTAAAACTAATGACTTAATGGAAAAAGTTTGAGGCAGACCACTCCAAACCTGTGCAACTTGGTAATCAAAGTATTAACAAAAATAGTAATGCTCTTTTTTTAAAAAATATATCTTTATTGATTTCAGAGAGAGGAAAGGAGAGGGGGAGAGAGAGAGAAACATCAGTGATGAGAGAGTCATTGATTGGCTGCCTCCTGCATGATGCTGACTGGGAATCGAGCCTGCAACCTGGGCATGTGCCCTGACCAGGAATTGAACCCTGATCGCTTGGATCCTAGGTTGACGCTCAACCGCTGAGCCACGTCCGGCCAGGCAGTAATGCTCATTTTTTAAAACAGTTAAAAATATATGTTAAATTTTTAGTAATAAAAAATAGTCCTGTGCATACAGGACTTTATTCTTAAACATGAAGATAGCTTGGTGGAATGGGGTGTAAGGAAGTTATGGAGACAATTGGAGAACCCTGCAATAAGCATTGCCTGAGGCTATGAGGATACATGGGAACAATGGGAATAGGCATGTGTTCTAGGTAGGGTCTCTCCATGGCTGCTGCATTCACTTCTGTAAGCATATCTAACATGGTAGAGAAAATCTCTATAAAGGTAAGTCTTCTGGTTTATACTGGCAGTATCCCTTCATTTACCAGTTTACATAATTATGTCATAGATACTTGTACTTTTGCAGAACAATACTCTTTTGTAATACGGTATACGCTGTGACTTGATATATTAGTTGGCTGGTTGCCTTTCTTATTGTGCTAATAATTGCCCTCTTTTTCCCCCTCTAGGTGTAGATGTCAGCATGAATACTCATCTTAAAGCTGTGAAAATGACTCTGAAGAACCGAGAACCCGTACAACTGGAAACACTGAGTATCCGAGGAAATAACATTCGATATTTTATTCTGCCAGACAGCTTACCTCTGGATACACTACTTGTGGATGTTGAACCGAAGGTGAAATCTAAGAAAAGGGAAGCTGGTAAGTTTGAAGGATTATAAACGTTTTTGTGAATGTATTTATACCCTAATCCGTTATTCAAAATACAAACATTGCAAACAACTGAGGGTTTTTTGGTTTGTTTGTTTTTATTGCCTATACTTGCCATGAATGCATTTATTATAATAGTATTTGTTGTTACTGGTGGTGTTATTAAAAACACTGATGCCATTCTTACTTCCTATACCTTTATGCATGCATGGCCTTGTCTCCCACCCTGTAAACACTTTGGAAGATTTGGAGATTGGCTCTTTATTCCTGTTATTCTGAAATTTCTTAATGACTTGGCATAGGATCTTTGCTTGTCCTCCCTTTTTTTTTTCCTTGCATTTTGTTCTGGGTATTTGGTAGGCCCTTTATCTGAAAAATACTGGATAGGATAGTAAATAGTAGGGCATTAATTGTAGTTTTGGGAGTGGGCTTTTGTTTTTTAAGTTTTATTCTATACTTGGCATTGTTTTCTCTGGTTTCTCTTTTTATTTGGTCTTTACATTGAAGGCTTTACTTAATTATCTTGTTCTTTGACCATCTGTTATTTAATGAGGACCCAAAAAGAGAAATTCTGGGAAGAGAGGCTGGGCTCCTCAGCTGGTGGGTATAATTGTAGGGTGGTTCAGAAGTGAGTTGGCCTCTTTACTGAAGAGACCTAAATTTTAATATATGGAAGTCTTTTCTGGAGCTGGTTTTCTCACAAGAAGATTCCAATCACCTACTATGGGAGACATATGCCTGATAGCCAGCATTATAAGAGCAGGGAGGAGAAAGGCGCTGGGTGTTTTGTTGATGGCCACTTAATATAAAAATTTTTAGACTTTTTTCCTTCTACCCACGCTAGAAAATATACCTTTCAACTACTGTTTTCTCTGCCTTTTTTTTTTTTCAGTCCTTATGGGTGTATACCATTTTTATTCCTTTTCTATCATGAATATCATGATTAGTGTTTCAGAAGGAATTAAAGATGTGTGGTTAATCTGTCCTGTTTTAACAGAAGTCCTAGACTTACTGTATTGCTTTGAATAGTAAAACTGAAAATAATAGGTAGAAATTTAGAATGTGACTGACTTAACTCCATGGCAGAACTTTTTAAAATAGCTGTCCAAAGATGAAATTAGTTCATTTGGATATGAGTTTTTGGTCACTGATTTTCAAGTAAAGTTAGGATTACCAGGTGATAGAGATATTGCTATATGGGTTAAAGTACTAGGTTATGCTTGGATCAAATGACTTAAGTTTCTGAAGAGTCAGGAGGTTGTTACTTGATACAATACATTTTTAAACTTTCTTGGCTTTGAACTAACTTGTTTGGATTCTATTCAGTAACAGAAGGTCTGGCACATGGTGTTCATGTTCTGTTCCATTGATACATCTCTTTCATCTTGTATGAGGTTCACATCATTTGCATTTCATTTTGTGGCAAATTTGAGACATGATACAAAGAAAAATATTTTAAAATTTGATGAATTTCTCAGTCAATATATTCGAACAAACAGATATTACAATAAGGTGTCTTTGTAGGCTAGCAGTGCTTGGTTCTGCATGATAATGTATTGGGAGGGGTGACTCAGGTTACATTTGAGAGAAACCAAGTTAAAGCGTTTTTTTTTACTATAGATGCTGTTTGTGGTTGCCAGGTAACATCAGGACAGAAGAGAATTTACCTTGCCTTGTTTTTCTTTTTTCCCAGTTGCAGGAAGAGGCCGAGGAAGAGGAAGAGGAAGAGGACGTGGCCGGGGCAGAGGAAGAGGGGGTCCTAGGCGATAATGTCTCTCAAGATTACTGTTTCAAAATGATATGTGATTTGGGATATTTTTTGTACAGGTTTTGTTTGTTTATGTCAGTTTTTAATAAACATAAATGTAGGCCAGCTGTCTATTGACTATATCACATTTAGTTTTAATAGTTCATATATATTCATGATATTAATACAGTGAGAGCTGAGCATTATTACATGGCAGTCCCAGAATTCAATTGGTAGATCAGGCTTTTAATTTTTTTAACTAAAATAGTTCACACACCTTTTACATCACGTGCACTGAATATGCATTTTGTTTGTTTTGCTTCAACTCCATTCTGTGAAACCTACCTACAGGTGAAATGGGTTTTGTTTGTTACTTCAGAAGCTGAAGTCCTATGGAATGGGGTCTAAAATTCATTCTCCTTTCCTGAGTTTTATTCCATGGAGACTTAGGTACTTAGTAAAAGGTGATAGTCATCTTCTAATTCAGGACTCATTGATTTTGTTGATAGTTTTGTTTGGTTTTTGTTTTATTTTTTCCGTAGTTTCTCAATAGAATATACTTTTCCATTCCCCTGACTTGAAACTTCAGATAATGTTCACTAGGTTATCAGTTGTAAGCAGTGTTGAAATGTGTTAATGTGGAATGTACCTGTCAGTGGCTCCCTTATCAAGACCTTTTACAAGGAGTCCTTAAAGAACAAAAGGGAAAAAGACCTGTTTTACTTGTTTTGTCTGATAACAAAACTGGATTCTTCCCCGTAGTTAATAAAGCTCTTTAAAAATTGTTTTAATTGGTTAAGCTTAGAGATGAATACCTGTCAGCATATACAGTTCTTTGTAAAGCTTACTACCATTTGTTTATATGCTAAGGGAAAAAAACCTAACTGAGGATTGGGAAGAATTAAGTCTGTATTTTTACTTAATTATGCTGTGGAGTTTTGTTTTTTAAATGAGCAAATTGTCTGCAAAGATCTAAAAGGGTGTTAGGCCATGTAAGAGGGTTATGTAAATTGAGAGAGAGCAAGAACATTTGTGTGTGGTATGTGTATGTGTGTCTCAATCCTTTCCATCTACTGATCTGTTGGTGTTCCTATTATTTGAACTTGGGCAGAAGGCAAGGAAGCCCAATGGTACAGCAAGGTGGAGAGGAGATTTAAAGGGAGCAAACGAGACCTGGCACAAGTGAACAAACATAAGTTGATTCCTGTCCTCATAGACTTTATAGGCTAAAAGAGAAGGAAAGTTACATAACATTGATAACATAACTGCAAGTTGTGACAACTCTGATAAAGAGTATTTCATACTATCTTGTCTATTTTAAAAGCAGTTTGTATTGACTTCCCATTTTGATTTTAAGTCATATGCCAATGTAATATCAAAGGTATTAACCTGTTTTGTGAGTTTTAATGTCCAGATGTTTGCAATGTGAAAACCATTCTGGTAACATAGTTTAAATGTAAGACTAAACAATAGTGGTTACTAGTTGAGTTTGTTCCACTTGAGGTCAATATTTCATTTTTATGTTAAAAGAAATTGTATGAAGAAAAGGCTGTTTGAACTGATTGCCATTATTAGGTATAAAGGAAACACTGCAATATGAGTAGAAAACAGACCAGGCTTTTAATATGCTCCTCCTGCCTCACTTCCCCCCAAAAAGTAAATAAGGATCGTAGTGCTGCTGCATTTTGCACACCTTATATCTTTCAAAACTTAAGATTTTGTGAAGTTTAGTTGTGTGGGTTTTTTTCTTTTTTTAAGAAATTATGCGTTTAGGTAGAAAATCGTAAGTGAAGTAATAGCAAATCAAATTTCACAGCGTGTTTTTATCTATTGTGGTTATGCAAGGATGGCATAGTATTTTGAAATGTATTAATATAGCCAGTAGTCAAACAAAATTTACATGATTATAATGTTGGAATGACATTTCATAAAATACAGCATTTATTCCTAAAAACCTAAGCTGGAAGATAATTCCTTAACATAGTGAAGAAAGTCCATCTTAAACCAATAGAAGACATTTTCTAGAGACATTACAATTAAAACAACAAAAAAGTATGTCTAATATTGGTCTTTATTATTTAATGGGAAAATTCTTACGGATACAAAAATTAAGGGGCATTCTTTTGAAAAGGAAGGGAAATTTGCAAACTATTTTCATGTAGGAACATGGTAGGGTTACATTTATCTGAACCAGCTTTTCCTCAGTGAAGCGTTAAAGTGTTTATATATATTATATTTTGGATAAGGTTAGTATATATAAATATGAGATTCAATTTACAAAATAATAGCAAAGGCTCTAGGTGTCAAATGTAGTAGATTCTTGTTATTCACAGTAGTTAATGGTCTATAAAGTTGCTGCAAACTCTGAGTTAGTAAACACTGAACTGGTGTTCCTAGGGAAAATACAAGGTTAGAGCACTGTGACCCTCTGGTCACATTTTCATCAACTGATCAATATATAACCTTGTTTTTTGTGTGTTTCTGTTTAAAGATACCTTATATAATATATATTACATTGAATTTACAACCAATAGCACAACTCATGCCTGAATTAAACTTTTCTAAGACATTTTCTCCAAAAGGCACATGACAGCCTTGTGCATATTTAAGCACTATGATTATGGGCCATTTTAAACAAAAAGTATTAAAAGTGTAGCACTGTCCTGGTCATTGTGGCTCGGTTGGAGCGTCTTCCTGGGTGCCTGAAGGTGGCAGGTTTGATCCCTAGTCTGGCATGCATGTATGAGGCAACCAATCAATGTATCTCACATTGATGTTTCTCCCTCTAAAAATCAATTTAAAAAATAATTTTAAAATGTGGCACTAAATAGACCATGAAGAAGACATTTGTTTACAGTATGAGAGCTGAAGTGAAGCGGTGTTACTTTTGTTCAACCTCAGCTTGGAACATACGCTTTTTGCTGTTCTATGCATGACAAGGTATCATGAGTACTGATTTTGGAGTTAGAAATTTTAGCGAGTAGGTGAGTTCCCAAATACCCCATGAATAATGAAGATTGACCATGCTTAACATATTTTGGTAAGATTATACCAAAGTATTTTATATATTTTGTTACAATAGAGAAGGGGTACTGAGATGAGTTTCTTAAATATGTTTTAGTAGCTCTGAAATTAATATGCATCATAAAGGGGATAAACAGATTGGGCATCAAATCAGTAAACTTTTTTTCTTCTTTAGTACATAGTAAGTCCTAAAAGTTGATGTCTTAGGTTTGATGAACTACAGATACTATACTGTGATTGGCTACTAAGTAGTAACTTGAGCTACTACACTATTTTCTTTAAAAGATAATATACATTGTGAATCTATAAGGAGAGTACAGTAGAGATTTTGTGTTTTCTAGATCTTTGTAATCCCTCATTCAGCACTTAAGGAATTGGCAAAATTAGTTCTAGCTTTTTTGAAATTTCTGAGTCAAAGCCAATAATTTCATATTCCAGGGTGGGAAGACTCAATGGTGTAGATCAGCAGTTTTCAACCCTTGTGCTGCAAGAATTTTGAAAACACCCAATACCCGACTAGTCAGAGGCACTAACCTCTTTTCCCTTAGATTGTCAAATAAAAAAACGATAGCAGCCCTAGTTGGTTTGCTCTGGTTAGAGCATCGACCTGTGGACTGAAGGGTCTCGGGCACAATTCCGGTCAAGGGTACGTACCTCAGTTGCAGGCTCCATGTATCTCTGTCACATGATATTTCTCTCTCCCACTCTGAAAATCAGTGGAAAAAATATCCTCAGGTGAGGATTGAAAAAAAATAACAGCCCTGCCAGGTGTCTCAGTTGGTTGAGCATCATTTTGTGCCCCAAGAGGGTTTGATTCCCAATCGGGGTACATACCTAGGTTTTGGGTTTGATCCCCAGTCTGGGCACCTACAGGAGGCAACCGATCAATGTTTTACATTGATGTTTCTCCTTTTTTCTCTGAAGTCAATGGAAATATCCTTGGGTGAGGATTTTAAAAAGAAAAAAATGACAACAGACAACACAACAATAGCCATCCAGTATGAATGAATCATACCTATTTTGTCAGATCGGCAAAAAAATATATTTTGTGTATGCTGCAGAACTTCAGTAATTTATGTGTGCCATGAGATGAAAAAGGCTGAAAATTCCTAGTGTAGATAAATTCTCCCAATTTGTAGGTTTAACACAATTATCCTGGTGAATTTTTAAGTTAATGCTTATTCTGTGCCAAGTTTTTCTGATTATAAGTTTAATGCAGTTGCCAAACAAGGATCTTTTTAGTGGACAATATTAACTACCCTTGTCATTTGACAAATATTGGATGGAGTGTTTATTTTACTCTGCCAGGTTCTGTGCTAAACCCTTTATATGTTATTTCTTTTAACCCTCAGAACAATTCTGTGTAGCAGATGGTGTTTTCTGTTTTCAAAAAGAAAACATGGCCAGAGAGGTTCAGTAACTGCCAAAGTCACAGTTTTTAATCAGCAGAGCTGGAATTTAGAGGCAAGTATACATCCAAGAACGCTGTGTTCTTAACTGGTAAGTTGTCTCCAGTGTTCATTCTGAAGAATGAGGAAGCTGTAGGAGATTCATCATTTTTTTAGAAAAGAGAAAAGTGCGGGAACTTAACTTTATGAGATACCAAACATTGTAAAATATTAAAGGCAGAGGAAATTATCTTGATACTCATGCAGTTTTTAATCAGGTTTCATTTTTGATCAAGTAATTTTTAAATAGTGCTTATTGCTTTGTAGGTAGAAGACCATTTGGAATAGGCGATGGAAAGGTGAATTGAAAAACATTAAGGAATTTGTCAGGATACCTCAAAAGCCTTACATTTTTTTCTGTGCTTTGATCCAGGATTTCATTTGAGAGTTCAAGAAAAAAATGTTGACAGAAACTTAATCGTAAGTATATCACATTTCTCAAAAGGAAAACAACCCTGTGTCCAAAATTAGAGAAATAGTTAAGAAAATTACTTATGGAATAGACTAGGAGTTACCAAGCTCACTCTAAAAAGTCAGGTAGTTGCCTGGCTGGGCGTGGCTCAGCGGTTGAGCATCAACCTAGGATTCAGGAGATTGAGATTTGATTCCCCATCAGGGCACATGCCCGGGGTGTGGGCTCGATCCCCCGTTGGGGGCATGCAGGAGGCAGCCAATCAATGACTCATCATTGATGTTTCTATCTTTCCCTTTCCCTTCCTCTCTCTGAAATCAATGAAGATATATTTTTTTAAAAAAATGACAGCAGGCAACACAACAATAGCCATCCAGTGTAAATGAATCAAAAAATTTTTACCTAATTTTTTTTTCAGATTGGCAAAAATTTTCTTTGGTGTACCACAGAATTTTAGTAATTATGTGTGCCATGAGATGAAAAGGGTTGAAAATCGCTGTTGTGGGCCATTTGATGTCTGTCTCAACTATTCAATTCTATTTTAAGCAGCTGTAGGCAATAGGTAAACCAATGGGCATGGCTGTGTTCCAGCAAAACTGCAAAAATGGGGAGAAGGCTAGATTTGGCTCACAGGCCATAGTTTGCTAACAATTGAGATATACTATAATGCCATTGTAAAAAGTGATTTGGTGCTGCTTGGGCAGTACATATACTGAAATGGGAACAATACAGAGAAGATTAGCATGGCCCCTGTGCAAGGATGACACAGATTCGTGAAGTGTTCCATATTTTGGTGCACATTTTCAATGCAGTGTCCTTGCACTGGACAAAGCTGCCCACAGTGAGACCCACCATTTGCATACAGCCTCCTGTGGTACCATACATGCGGTATGGACACTCAACCGCCCTCATCAACAACTTGGTTTTCCTTTGGGCAGGAAGAATAACACGGAAGGGGTCTGCAGTATGCTATACACCTTTGATATCAATACAAGTGGTCCATACCCTGAGTGTTAGGGACAATTCTTGGGGCCAGGGACGGGCATTTGGCTTGTTGTCTTGGGGAAGACAACGTAGTAAAATAATGAAAATGATCAGGAGCTGCATGTTTCAACATGGATGAGTCTCAGTATTGAGCAAATAATGTAAATAGAATATATATAGGTTGGCATCATTTTGTATATAAAATTTTACATAATTTTCAAAACTACATTTGAAATTTTGACTAAAAGTATTAATCTAGGTAATATCATTTCAGCTACGCTATCTCTGAAAATGACATTGGTAAGTGGTCACAGGAGGTGAACATATGCCATATTTATGTGTTAAAAAATGTCAAGCTTCATATAAAAGTCGCAGAGGCCATCCACTCTGTCAACGTGTGGTGGTAAATGTTTAATAATTTGTAGCATTTGCTGAGTTCTCTGTGGCAAACTACCAACAGGTTGTTAACCAGCTCACAACCTTTCTAAAATTTTGAGATTTGGCCTTGTACACAGGTAATGCACAACATGATCATCTTTCCACCTCCCCTGGAAAAAAAGCTTTTTCTCTCTGTTCTTGCTTGAAGGATAAACAGCTCTTTGTTTATATCTAGATCGGTAAATTAGACCTCTTTTGCTGTGATCCTGACAGGATGAAGCTGCAGAATTGGAGGTAGGCTTGGGGCGGTTGATTGATGCAGGTTGGGAGAGTTACAGTGATGGGTATAGAACCCAATAAAACCCTAGTTTTAAGTGGTTCACACGGCCTTCATTTGTAGGCTCCTGCAAGCTTTCAGTTCTTGACTTCCTAGGCCAAATTTTGTCAAGATTAACTGTCCAAGGACAACCTATGTCCTCACCTTCTTAATGCTTCTACTGTCAGTTTTACCTACTCTGCTACATCTGGCTGCCGGTTTTAGTGACAGAGAGGCAAAAAGTGACATCGTTCACTTAGTTATGTTTACTAAGGTTTAATATTGACATGTCTGTTTTTTAACAAATTTTTACTTATTGATTTGGTGGGGGGAGACTTGTTGTTCCACTTATTTATGAATTCACTGGCTGCTCCTTGTATGTGCCCTGACCGGGGATTGAACCTGCAACCTTGGAGTGTTGGGATGACACTCTAACCAACTGAGCTACCCAGCCAGGGCCTTGATATGTCTGTTGAAGCACAGAAT